TTTTGCATGACTGTGATCAGTACTGTTTTTCAAAATCGTAGATACATGACTGAAAAGATTAGCGATTGTTTCATTATTATGATTATTTGAATACAAAACAAAACTACAATTTTTTATATTACCATCACAACTGTAGATACCATAATGTTTTCCAGATGATCGATCACCACATACAGCACATAAAACATTCAACAAACGTTCACCTATGAGTCATAAAGAAACAATTTAGTTCTTTTCTATAAGATCAATTAACAAATTGAAAATTGATAATTGACTTTTTATTATTTTTTTCGAAATCTCAACATTAAGTCTTACCTGGCATAATCGTTTAGAATATATAGATATATTTTTGTTTTGTCTTTTGTAGTTATAAACAAAAAAGAAAATACGTCGATAGCCTCCAGAAAAAATTACTTTTAAACACTTGACTAGAGAGATTGAGACTAGATCGAATGGATGTGTGCGTGTCTCACTAGCTTTTCCGTTTCAAATGATCTTCTGCTTCTTCTTATCACTACTTTCTTTTTCTCCTTTTTTTTTCTCTTTTTTATGCCTTTTGCTCTTGCCGTCTCTTTTGTTTTCTCTCCTTTTCAGTAACAATTTAGTAAGTGTGAGGACAAAAAGAAAACTATCTCTTCCATTTACATATTTTCTTTGTATTTTAGATTTTTTAACCATCAAATGTAGTTAGAGAAAACACATTTTCGTTTAGTTTGTTTTTCATTGATCATTCACTAACATATGTTTTTCTTTTTCTTTTTTTTTTTTGCTCATAGAATATTATCAAAGAGATTAGACACTTTATGACGATTTGTTATCTTTTTGATAGATGTGTAGACACGCACAGTACATTAGTAAAATAACTGATTCTCGAATTTCTTTTTTTTATTCTTTGAAAGCATCACGACAATGTTATTCCAGGTAAATTATTTATTATTCATCTAGTACGAATGAAAAATGTGAACAGTCTGAGAGAAGAGATCGATAATTGAGGATCCATTTGCTACAATGAGTTTGTTTCTCTCATCATCATCATCGTCATCACATATATATATATATCTAACTGTTTAGTCATTCGAGCAATTCTATTTGAAACAATAATGCTGAGTTTGTGACATGCACTTCGTTTTTTTTTTTGTGAAGTCGTTTCATATTACATTGCAAACATGCATTGATATTAATGAATAAATAATAAGAAAAATGTTCAGTTGGTTACTTTTTTTCCTTCTTGTCGCTCATTTTTTTTCACTTGCCATCGTTAACATAATGTGTGCATATATTTGCCATTCCTCGTTCCATGATTTGTTAGAAAGGCAAGACACTTTTTGACTCAAACCAATGAGGAATAAGAAAAAAAGAAAAAAGGATAAAAAAAGACGAAGAAGAAGACTAGGCAGTCTAGTTACTCAACCAGAAGTAAAGCCTGAAGGCAATGCAAAGTGGAAAACATTGTTTCTATATTTCCACACGGATGGTCATTGACAATGACTTGAAGAGTATAAAAAAAAGAGAATGTGTGTCTTTTTGACATGATCTATACGCGACAGCCATTACTTATTCTCAGTTTCAAATATAAGAGAAAAAAAAACTCAAATAACTGCAGGCAATACAAGTGAATTTTTTTCTCATAAAACTTAAAATGACAGTGATAAATGACTAAAATCTTAGTTTAATAGAAAGAAAAAAAGGTACTCGTAACCAATTAGTCTTCTTATATCATTGGAACGGAAAATTTGAATTATGTTTAAAACAAACAAATAAAATCAACAATCGTTGATGTCAAATAAACAATCGGAAGCGAAATAAACATCAATGAATGGATTACAGACAAACAGATTTCAGTGCTTTTTAAATAATTTCAGAAATCTATAAATCAAGTTTTTCATTCATCAATTATTATGCCAGTCAAAAGATCAACTTGTTTTTTAAACAATGAATAAATTTAAGAATGTTTTATCGATCGTAATAGCTAGCAAGAATATGAAAAACAAAACTGCTCAGATGAAGATAAGCAGAAAAGTAAAATTGCCAAATCATTTTACTCAGGAAAAACTAACTAGTGTTGGAGTTCTTGATTTTGCTACAGAATTTCATTCAAGCAATATTGCTAGATTCTTGCTAACTATTATCGTCTTGAAGACAATTTAAAAATATAACTGTTCGAAACTAGTGTCCGTTACTAAATGAGTGAAAATTGATTCACTCGTGATTGAGCAATATACTACTTGAGAAAAGGCTATAAAAGTAGAAAGCAATATTGTTCTACTAAAAGAATTCATTTTTAAGGAAAATTCGTCTACAAACTGATAATTAACCATATGATGTGAAGTAACTGAATACATAGCAAAGAAAAAAATGAATTATTGAAAAGGTGAAGATGTATTGTCATGAGAGGAAAAGCATTCGTATAAGTATTCAGATTTATGGCGTTTGACACCAATCGATCAGATTTTAGAAGCAGAAAGACACCGAGTGAATTGCTTCTTTTTGTAGAATTTGAAATGTTCTCGTTTTTTTTTGTTGCTGTTTATGTAAGAAACTGAACAGTATATTTTTCCGTATTAAATCAAAGTTAGAAAATCGTACCATGATGGTCAAAGTATATACTGGATTTTGATTAGTTCGGGTCATACCCGTGCAAGACACTACAATGATGATTCTAACAGGTTTGTGATATCTGTCGATCATATCAAATTGGTAAAAAATCAATACTCAGATGTTATAATAGAAATTATCTATAAAAAATTAGACAGAGTTCACTACGTCCAAGTTATTCGAATCTGAATTGCAACATGTTTATCTGTCTATTTTTTTTTCCAGATCTCACATTAATTATACAAAATAATGATTTACTAATGAGATAATTTTATAAGTTTTTATATTTTAATTCAAATAAATGTAAATGGCTATCGATCACAAAAAAAAGAAACAAAGAAAAATAAGACGAAAAACAAGTGTTTAAAATCGACATCGACAAAAATCGAGTTATTAAATCGGTATATTTGATTGATTCATTTATTCATTCGTTCCAAAATTTGATTCACAATGAAAATCATCATCAGGTCGGACTAAACTTGATGGTGTTGCCGATATTAAAGATGAAACACTTGTTGTTCTTTTCTTTTTCTCTACAAAAGGATAAATAAAATAATGAATATCAATTAAAATGTATCGTTTTCAACAAAAACAAAATTATTTTCTATTTTACTTTGTTGATCACGTCCTAATTGTCGTCGTTGTCGATTATTATTGTTATTATTCTTGCCACGTACTGTAGTTTTTTTCTTGTTATTTAAACGACCCGTAATGCATTTCGTCTTTTTCTTTCGTGCATCAACAGATAGTGTATTCTTCTTTGTTCTACTTGTTCCTCGTGATGCATTTGTTGAACGTCCATGCCGAACTGCACTATTATTTAGTGCATGTGCATTACGAATTGATGAACGACTCTTGTTATTACTACCTAATAGACTCCGTTTATGATTATTAGTAGTCAAACGACTACGTGTTGTTGAAATAGCACGAATAGAAGAACGAGTACGATTACGTGCATTCGTTTGTTTGTTGTTCGTATTACTATTTCGAGTTGTCGATGATCGTTTTTGAATTCTATCAATTATTCATAGAATAAATATAGTCATAGAATAAAGCAATATTTACGATGTACGACCAACATTTTTTGCTTTAGTTATTCGACCACGAACTTGTTGTGTACTGTTTTGATTGCTATTGGTTGATCGAGCCATTTTTTTTTCAAGACAACGATAGATTGATTAGAGGAAAAACAGAAGATATTTGATGGTAAAATTTGTGATTAAAATGAGAATGAATATTTGATATGTACACAGAGAGAGAGAGAGAATGTATGAGTGAATTAGTATCGAGGCAACTTTGGTGAATTTGTGAATAAAGCGCTTAAATAAGCTTTGAATGAAAAAAAGAATTATAAACGCGCTCTACATCATTATTATTCAAACATAATTAATTTATTTTCTTTTCAAAGATATAGTACTATGATACTAAACATTTAACTCAAATTAAGGATTTTTGAAAAGCCAAACACGGTACTTTTCAGATCGTAGAAGACTATGAAAACTAGTTTTTAAGAGTGTCATCTTGAAGAG